GCCACGTTAATTGGCAGTAGAGGAACCAGCTTTTTCCTATAGCGAGCATCCGCGTCTCACAGCATTTAGACCATTTTAAATGTGATCCACATTGTAGCACAATTTAACCGGAGACACCCTGGTTTAAAACTGGCTTTTTTTTTGCTCCTGGTAAAGAGCCCTGCTTATCAACACCGGCACATCGATCCCATAGCTCGGTTATAACGTATATTATATACACCAGAATATAATTACACAGGGCAATAAACCCATAATAATCCCTCTTCTTTTTACTGATGACCATAATTAACTGCATATTTTTCGAATTGATGTTAATATTTTCCGACAAAACCTTACTATACTTTGCGATCTTAACAATATAGTTAAGAAGACACAATCATGCATTGATCAACTAGAATGACTACATAATACTATATTGCATTAAATTGCTGAGCCTCCGTAAACGGAACTTTTGTTCTTGCCGATAGTCCACAACTAACCCCCAAGTACGAGTCATTAAACAACGGGTTTAGATTCAAGTTGAACGCAAACTATAAACTAGTCTTGATCCAAGACAACATTTTGTTCCTCTGCGCAGCTCGGGCCACGTCAAGTGGAGCCCACTACGGTCGCAGTGGCATGCGGCCGAGGGACTGGCTGTTTAACCAGTGTGTTCACTCGTGAAAACAAGTGTGCTCGTAAAATCAGTGTGACTCCGCTTCATAAGTACATCTGCCTTTTTGTGACTCAGATGTTCAGCTATTTCTACTTGTCAATTTTCATAGATGCTAAGTTTAAGCCAAGCAGATAATTTGCTATTTTGCTATTTACACATGGTGATAGATTCTGACGGACTCCATCGCAGCCACTACCAAATCGCTGTCTGGTGTGAGCGTGATACCTCGCGGTGAGCCACATCCCTTGATCACGCACCCAATGTGCTCGCCATCAGCACTGAATCGGTGAATCTCGCCACCCCATGATGGTGACCATGCATAACTCAGGGCAACATAAATGTCACCGTCTTTTTCACAGCACACCCCTTCAGGGCCCAAGGAAGTAGGAATACATCTGGGCATATCTACCGCGAATATCTCATCGCCGTTGGTATATATCGACCGTAACTTTCTTTGCATCCGATTGGTGTAGATCCAGCGTTGCTTGTAGCTGGTCATGTGTTCACCGACCTTTTGGTTGGACAGTGTGTCGATTAAGGATCCATTTCGAGAGTAAAGTGATATATTTTGACGGATCTTCCTTCCAATCGCTATCTGATTGTCTTCATTCACAGCCAGGCATGTTGGTGGGGCGTCTTTCTCCAAGTTGAGGTTGAATTTACGTGGGAGCTCACTGTAACTCCTATTGAAGAAGTTGACTTCAGACTTATAATCCGAGTGATTGAGAACAATCAGTTCATTATCCTTGTTCACCGCCAGCAGTCTTGGCGTCGCTGCGATCTCGTGCTGATGAGAGATGCTCCCGTAGTATTTTAGTTTTCTTGTGGTTATTATACGTATCAGCTCACTCTTTCCATATTGCAACGCAGCGATCTCGTTGTCAGAGAAAGCTGCAACATAAAATATTTTATTGAAGTTTTTTATTTCATGCTGTTCAGGTATACAACTTCCTATTTCTTTATGCAACCACCACTCCTCTTTCGGGCATTCGACCTCAGCTGAGGGTGATGATTCGACCTCAGCTGAGGGTGATGATTCGATCTCTGGTGATAATGCCGGTGGTGGTGATGGTGGTGGTGACGGTGAGGGTGACCCTTGACCTTCCAGTAGCTCTTCCTGCTTTGCGACCTCCTCAACCAGAGATTTCAATCTAAAGTTGCTGGGCAACTCTTCCACGTTATTGCCTTTCAGTTTTGTTTCCCCCCTGCACACAGGACACTTTAGCCTGGAACTGTACCGATCCAATCTCTCCTTGAGCTCAACGAGGCATTCCAGGCAGAAACTGTGAAGACACTCCAGCATTTTGGGTTCAGTGAATCGAGTGGAGCAGATGCTGCATTCCAGGTGCCCTTCGCTGATCTTAGCTAACACTGACTTGGCCGTCATCGCAGACAGATTCGACGCCATAATGTTCCAGCTGCCGCAGACTCGGACCTTTGAAAATTAAAGAAATTAAAGCTACAAACACAAGCTGTAAACTTCGCCTGTTTGAAAAGACTCTGTGACTTGCCCCTTTAATGTGACGTCACATGACATCTGATGACGACATGCCATGACGCCACTTGAATTTTCAAGACATCCAGGTGCAGGTTAACATGAAGTTACAACCAGATCAGGCATCCCTTAGAGAGCCTTAGAAAAATGCCCATTTAATGTGACGTCACATGACTTGGGATGACGTCATCAAAAGGTCACTTCAATTTTCATCTATAACACGTCCCTGTCCATGTACCTACCTTCCACGTTTCAACCAAATCGGGATTGTACTTCAAAAGTTATAAGGCTTGAAAAATGCACGTTTACCATCAGCGGTTGGTGGGCCATGTTTCTACCAAGTATCAAGTCTAAAGTGAATCAGAATTATGAAAGTGCCAATTAAAGTATACTCGTTTAAGACAACTACGTACAAATCCTGTATGGGAAAAAATGCACCTTTAATGTGACGAAGTGGTGGTCTAACTGTGTACCAAGTCTGAGGTCAAGCCAATTTACGAAAGTGCCAAAGTGTATGAGTAGAAGAAAAACGTGTGTAATACCTATGGAGATTGGAGAGAGGTCTGGAAAAGAAACAAAGGGGGAACTTCAACGAAAACAAGGAAACCGCTAATATTCTTTCTTCAATTAACTAAAGCTATCTACCGAAACACCCAAACAATAATATTCTCCAAGCTCTTCCTGTTCGCGGATCATCACGCATTCATTAATAACGAGGAGAATGTCACACTTACCTACAGATGAATTTTCCAGTACGTCTGTTGCACATGCATGCGTCTGAGAAATGACTATGACTCAACAACAGACATTTCTCACACCAGGACACCCCCACGTGTTGTTGCAGTGTGTCGGGAAATTCCCATTTCTATTTATAGCAGGTGACACCAGAGGGGGAAGTCATGGATAAAGTCATTGTATGTTCAGTAGAGCCTGCAAGTTCACCCTGAAAGTTCAGTGCCTGAAATTTAGTTGGGCACCATTTGCAGACGATGTGTAACAATTTTGTAATTGTGTGTCTGGAAGCCAGACTGAGGGAGCGATGGTCGTGTATCTGGAACCTGTAAACGCTTTTTAATTAGCGCAATATGAAAGGGAGCAGACTAATGACCAACCTGACAGCCCATGCACGATGTTGATGCATGGTCTGACCATGGAGCGGTCTGACATTACCGTTTTCTCTGATTTTTGTCTTGAGTCTTGACGATCCAAAATTCCCTAAGAATGCTCGTGTCGGGTCGGTCGAGATCGTAAGTGGGTGCAGAATTTTGAAGCCATATGGCTTGGCCTTATACTGATCGAGGTCACATCAAGCTCCACCTTGTAGGATATTTTTGAGAGTATGAAGGGGATCGGAGCGTCATATCTGCAACATCAGCCGACATGTGAAGAAGAAAAAGTAGGGGAAACAAACCGCGTCGCCACACCACTTTTGGGGCAAGCTCCATACCAGAAACCGGAGACTTTTTTTGGCATTAATAATTTTGGCATAGAGCCCATTTTACAACTAGGCATCAATCTGCCCAGCTGGACAACAATTACATTATTGGAACAGAGGTATGGATAACCTCATTCATATTGGACGTGATCAGTGGTTCATACAAACAGAATCAATAGAAACATCACATACTGCTCAAGTCAGTATTCTGTCAATTGATTTTTAATAAAATTGTAAAATCACAATGGTAACACATTTTTTTTTAGTGGACTTCAGTGACGTATTTAGGCTTAAACGTCGTGGGGGTCATCTGCGGTGCATACATTTTTCAAGGGGACACTAAAGGCAAATTATATTTATTTTCAATGTTAAAGTTGCACAAAGAAATTGACTGGAGCTGGGTTTCATTCAGCGACATCCTGGTTTAAACACCGCTCCAGTCAATTTTATTGTTCAACTTTCAAATTATAACAATGCACCTAGCTAGTCAGATTCCCTTTGAGGTTAATTTGAAGAAAAAAAAGATGTTCACTTTTGTTAAATTCAAGATTTAAAACGGAGGGCACCCGGGGGCACGGACATCTGTTGGGGGAGGGCACGTCCCCCGGCCCCGCGGTGCCCCCCTCACCGTGCCCCCTCCCCCCGTGCCACAAAAAAATTATGTCCACAAAAACAAGACAATTAAGTAAAACTGAAATCGATAAACGCTTTTTTTTTTCAGTATCGTTTGATTAGCACGTTTGATTACAATAAACACGTCACAAAGACTGGTTGAAACTTCAATTATTTAAATCGTATAAATGCGATTTTCAATAAAAAAAAAATTAGACGTTTGATATTTAGGTTGGTATCTATGTGGCATTTCACTGCTTTTTAATCCATTTACTTGCGAGGTTGTAGGGGTTTGTTTTGGAAAGTTTTTGTCTTGACGTACGTGCAACCAATACATATATGCTATATAGGGTTGTGAGCAAATACAGTGTCTACGTTCTTTTTCCAGTGTTGTCGATATTTGGAATATAACATTCAACTTAGAACTTCGATAATGTGTACCGAGATATGTTAACTGATAACTGATGTTAAGTTGAAGTATCTACATGTCTTATACAGCAACGCTAAAATTAGGTAAATATAACGACGTAGCTGAGAATTGCATTACTAGATGCCCTGTGTATGTGACAAACCTTCATGTCGGTTGCCTCAAATTATTTTATTAAGTAGATTCTACTTAATAATAATAATAATAACTAATTCTTGTATAGCGCCAAATCCGTCAAAATTGACGCTCAAGGCGCTTCACAGAAATAAAATTAACCAGTTAGAATTTAAAAACAAACTAAAAATTATACAAAGGAAAGCTTTAAAATAACTAAATGAACATGAAAAGAATTGTCTAAAACAAGTAGGTTTACAAATTTAAATTGTAAAACAGGCAGATAAAAACGGACAGATACAGAACTTCAATCAAGTAAACAGAGAGAAGACCATGACAGAGAGAATTAACAGCATGACAGCCATAACGTACAAAATATCAATAAAAAAGTGACGCTCAAGGCGCTTTATCACAGAACTACAAATAAACCAGTTACGATTTAAATTTAAGTCTTAAAAACAACCTATAATTATGATTGTTTATAAGTAATAGGCTACTTACTAAAAAAAAGTGAGGTTGCAATAACTTAAATGTAAAGTGGGTTGCCTTAATAAGTAGATTTCGAAATGATTTGATTTAATCAATACTTAGGGCCTACTTTGAAACGGAAATGGCAATAAGTTAAACTAATTACAACAAGTTTAAATGACCATCGAGGAAGGAATCCCTCCATGAAATGATGGAACATAACTAAGGTAACAGAGTTGCCGCATTGAGTAGATCGATTCTTTACTGCTGACACGGCGGACACTTTGTAGAATACGCATAATACGTATTTCCAGCCGTAAATTTCTTGAACGTTTCCCCATGCAGTTCTGTCAGACGATTTAATATCGTGTTTCGTGTAATCATAAAATATACAAGTATACACAAAGCATTGACGTGCACGTTGTTTTCACAAGCACCGAAACAGCTCGATTTTTGAGAATCAAAATTTTCACCGCCGAAATTCATACTCGCAAGAATAACACAAAACGGCCTAAAACACCATACGTACCACCCCCATCTTATCGACGCTCCTGTGCGTAAATTTTTAAATTGATATGACCCGCTACGGAGGTTGTAAGGACAATGACGCGATACCGTATAAAATCTGAGTGAGTTGAGGCTGAGGCAGTGTGCACGTTCAGCACTTGGTCGGGACGATCAAGAGGTAGGAATCTTTTTAGGGGGGCTGTCAATGTTCATAAATGTCCATTTTAAACCCCAAAAAAGGATGCTGTTTAAGTGAAGTTGCATGCCTGATTACACAGGGTGATATATGCTAACAGACTCCCGTGCAGCCACTACCAAATCACCGTTTGGTGTGAGCGTGATACCTCGCGGTGAGCCGCATCCCTTGATCACGCACCCGATGTGCTCGCCATCGGCACTGAATCGGTGAATCTCACCGCCCGATGATGACCAATCAACATTCATGGCGACGTAAATGTCACCGTCTTTGTCACAGCACACCCCTGCAGGGCCCATGGAATCAGGACAGTCGCTGGGCATACCTACTGCGAATATCTCATCGCCGTTGGTATCTATCGACCGTAACTTTTTCCACCTAAGGTAAGAGTAAATCAAGCGTTGCTTGTAGCAGGTCATGTGCTCACTGACCTTTTGGTCGGACAGTGTGTCGATTAAGGATCCATCTGAGGAAAAGAGAACTATGTTTTGACGATAGCTACTTCCAATTGCAATCTGATTGTTTTCATTCACTGCCAGGCATGATGGTGCAATTATAACGTCCTCATCAAGGTCGAAATGGTGAAGGAGCTCCTTTTGCCGATTGTAGACCTTGACTTCAGGCTTATCATCGGAATAATTGAGAACAATCAGTTCGTCATCCTTGTTGACGGCCAATCGCCTAGGCTTTGTAAGACCTTTGATCTCGACTTCATGGCATAGCACAGGGGATTTGGGTTTACCTGACGCTAAAATGTGTATAAGCTTGCTCATTCCATATTGTACCGCAACGGCTACGTTGTCAGAAAATGCTGCAACATGGAAAGTATGTCTAAAAGTGTCTGAGCTTGGCCATTCAGGAATGTATCCTCCTACTTCTGTCTCCAATCGCCATTTCTCACTCAAACATTGGAACTCTAAAGATGATTCTGATGATCCTTGACCTTCCAGCAGCTCTTCCTGCTTTGCGACCTCCTCCACCAGGGAACTGAGTGTAAAGTCGCTGGGCAATTCTTCGACGTTATTACCTTTCAGCTTGGTGTCCCCCCTGCACACGGGGCACTTAAGCATGGAACTGTACGGATTCACTCTCTCCTTCAGCTCAACGAGGCATTCCAGGCAGAAACTGTGAAGACACTCCAGCATTTTGGGTTCAGTGAATCGATTGGAGCAGATGCTGCATTCCAGGTGTCCCTCACTGATCTTAGCTAACACCGACTTGGCCGTCATCGCAGACGTATGGGTCGCCATCCTTAAACTTGATTGCAGCCGTCTCAGGTCTGTGAAAATGAAAGAATGGAAATAATCCCCTCGTCTGGATTCTTTTGTTTTCTACGACTTTACCTGAAATCAATGGTCAATAACCACAACGCACAAGCGCGTCATTCAACGAAACCAGATTTTAACGCTTCTTGTGTCACAATGGAAAGACTGACTGTAGGCTACTTTAACGGAAAGTGTGATTGAGCATGATTATAAGCAAAAGGTTTGGTGGAGTGGGAGGAGTAGAAAGGTTCCCGGGGAAACCGTTCACATAAAAACACTGGACTACACTGCGCTACCGTTTCACATGAACAAAGGCCTGTCAAAAGTGAGGGCAAACAAGCTCTTTTTTGTATAGGGATCTTTGAATTAAAGACAAAGTGTCCGAGATAAAAGTGTTTTGTTTGTTTATTTAATTGTTTTATTATGATCGGCAAAAGACCAGCGTCTACGATCTGCAAAAGACCAGCGTCTGTCCATGTCAGCGGACCGCCCCTAGTATTAATTGTAAGCACATCGAAAACTCTACCACAATGCAGTAACGTTTCTGTGCATTTAAGCTGAGCGCAAAATCTTCATAGACGCGTGGGAGAGATCATTGCGTGAGCCAGTGAAAGCATAGATTCATTTACACACCAGTTTTCATCGGTTGCTGTGTGTTACCATTCAGCACTCCAGACTCAAGAACCATCGAGTTTCAAGCAAATGGGTCTGGGAGCTAGATACGCCATTGTTTAACAATACAATTCCCGGATGTCCGCGCCCGTCCACGGGCCACATTGGTTTTTGACCATAAATGTCCATAATTCACAAAAGATTTCATTCTCTGGAATCAGTCTTAAAAGATGAAGATAATTTCACACTTACCCCAGAAGATAATTTTTCCTGTAGGCCCTAGCTATACGTCTGTTGCCAGTTGATACTCTTTTCCTGCTGCTGAGCAATGGTCATAGATATATAACAGCGATTTACGACTCAACATACATTTCTCACAGTAGGAAACGTATACGTGTTGTTGCAGTGTGTCGGTAATTCCCAAATCTATTTATCGAGGGTAACACAATTGTAGGGGTCTATAAAGATATATACTCAGTTGCCACATGCAGTGAATCCTATATATAGTCTAGTTCCAAGATCAAAGATCGTCTGATCAGGGAAACAAACAGCAGGGGGACCTACACAGCATATACATAGCCTTTTGACTATGATGGAAACAATGGGTTTTTTCACGTACAATATTGATACGCAACGGGTTACATTATAATAAAGTTTAGCTACACTGCACAAGGCATATTGTGTTCGTGTGAGTGTCACTGAAATTGGGCGTAAAGGGCCCATGTAGTGTATTTGTAAAGCTATCCTTCAAACTGCACCTTTGTTTCCCATTTAACCTTATTTTCAATTTTCGTTCTGCCATTTTTAAGAGTATTTTACGTCATTTTTGCATTGTCAAATTGCACATTCTGAGCAAAAGTGTAATGTCATTTCAGGCAGAAACCTTCAATGTTAATACAGCTGTTGCAGCAAGGAAAATTGGGGATATTCTGCTGCGTATTTCCTTGGCTATTCGTTGTGTTTGTACATGGCAGTAAGCCAATGAGCACACTTTTCTTACAAAATGGTTGGCATAGAGCAAATTTTCGGGTTCACAAATTGAACAGAAAACCCTTAAACTGAACGGGAATTCCTGAACTGACATCATGACAACAGCTCCCTCACTTGTCAGGAATTAAATGGGCAAAAGAAAGAAGTACGGTTTTCAAAACAATTATGTCAAGCAGTGGCGTAGCCACGGGGGGGGGGGCGTGGGGGGCGACAGCCCCCCCCCCCATGAAACCTTGTCGCCCCCCCAGTCGCCCCCCCCACCACTGAGATTTTGAGTTTCTTAAAAAAAGTATCATTGATCTACATGACGCCCCCTTATGAAATGTTCCAGCCCCCCCCCCAGCGCCCCCCCCCCCCCCCCCCCCCCCCACTGAAAAATTCCTGGCTACGCCACTGATGTCAAGTATAGTTTTCATACATTTAAGAAGAGTAGAAAGTTGCACAAAATATGTTACTCTGTAAAATTCATGTCGTGGATCCCGTAAATAATATTTCTAGTCTGACTTGTTGACTGGAAAATTGGCTGTGAATGGGTATACTCAGGGCAGCTAAAATTATCGTTTATAGCGACAAGATTTTCTGTCAATTTTCAAGAACTATAAAACGAAGAATCAGTGTTTAGGCCACGTAATCTTCAGACCGCACACGGAAAATGAGTAACTTTTGTCCCAGCAAATCTTTGAAAAGGAATAGACGAATATGTTAAGGAGAATACACGAGAAAGTGTGGATTCGTAATTTAAGAATTCATGAGGCGCGAAGCGCCGAGTGAATTCGTAAATTAAGAATCCACACTTGCGAGTGTATTCTTCGACTTAAACCATTCCGTCAACAGAAGAATTGGAAAGAATGCTGCAACCTGACGCCACTTTTTTTCTTCATATATCATCTCAATGAGGGTCATTTGTTGCAAAAATGATGATAAGTCATGAATCTGGGACTGAGAAATGTTTCCAATTTTGTTAGGAAATACTTGAAATGACTCTCCTTAGACTTTGTACACAAGCGCGGAAGTGGCGTCAGGTTGCAACATTTTTCGCCACGCCCGTACAACCAAGTCATTTTGTGTGTACAGGCTCCTTACGTCAAAATGGATAGTTCAGACGACGATTTCTTTCTGACTGAAAGTAGTTTTTGCAGATCTGACTGTGAAGATGCATTGGTAAATTTTCGGAAAGCAAATTTTCACGCAGACGGTCCTATTCATGCTCATTATGGAGACAATATTATTGTCCGACGTTCAGAGTATGGATTCGTAATTCCGAATCCACACTTTACTAAAGATTCGTCATTCCGAATCCACACTTTGTGACCAGTGTAAGAGATTCGTACATCCGAATCCACACTTTTAACAATAGTGCGACGTCATAGCAATGGTTTAAGGGCACGTAATCACATAAATGGTTGCGAAAGTGTTGTGCACGCGATTGTACAGAGCAACTGGTCCTGTACGCAGTAGGCCTATCTGAAAAAAAACATAGCTAAACCTTCACTGTACGTTGGTCACGTGACCATGGAAATTTGTCTAAATTGAATACCTGATGGGTTCAGACAAAGAGAACATGGTTTTGCATCACTAAACTAATTTATTTGAAATGACCAAAATTCATTACATTCTCTTCACATGTAAGTATATCTACAACATTATCCCGCTACAATGGACTTGATGTACCATTATCAAAGGCATTTTAACAGAAGATGGTGGCCATTGTGAAAAATGGCGACCATTTGTATCTCAGAGGAAATCTGCGATGGCCCTATAGGCCCAATAGCTAAAAAAGCAATTACTGCATGCCAAATATCATGCTTCTATCATCAAAGACACGATTTATTTACATAATTATGAACTATACCTCGTCATTATGATGTACACATATTCAGGTTGCTTAGATCCACTTTTTGACAAGATCGTGACCGACTGGTCCAAAGCACCAAACTTGGCAGATAGTTTCTTATAGCCATGTAGAAAATATTTAGAAGGGGTGATACATGAAATCCTTTTTGGAAAGGGTGCCTAATCTGCATAAATCATAAATGGCCACCGCAGTATACATCTATTTACATATTTTGGCATTCTTTGTTTAAATATATGACCTCGATAACGTTAGGCTAGTCACTAAAAAAAAAAAAATATGAAACACCAAAGAGTTAACCTAATCGATAGCCGTATTTAAAGCCAGAACTATTTAATCCATCATTAAGCCCCATCTACAACTACGAGGAAGCATCTCACTAATGAAACTTTTAAATCGAGTATGTTTAAATTGCTATCAACGAAAAGCTGAGACCTTCTTAAAGGATGAAGCTATTTTGTTTCCTTGAATAAGGCAAAATGAAGTTAAACGTATAGATTGCCCTACTTCTCTCCTTAACTTCGTGCAAATAAAACTAAAATATCATAAATTTTTGGAAATCCTAATTTAATTAACTGCGAAATTGTTGCACTCAAAACTGTACACAATTATTCTCTTTAACAATATGTACACCATCTGACCATCACTGACAATACATGGTTATTGCTAATCGGGTCCGAGTTGGACATGGTCCGAGTTGCTTTTGGTCTAAGAGGTCTTTGTGGTCTTTGGGGAAAGGACAGTTATTTACAGTGAAAGATGTGAACTGAATTCCCCGCAGCCACCACCAGACTGTCCTCCTTTGCAGAAAATGCGATACCGCGTGGGGAGCCGCAGTCCTGAACCAGGCACCGGACGTATTTACCGTCTAGGCCAAAGTGATGGATTTCCCCACTGGAGGACCCGAGCCCACAGACGGCCAAGTAGATGCTGCCATCCCCGCCGCAGCAAACCCCGGCAGGCCCCCAGTTCCGGGCCATGCTCTGGTTGGTATCCACGCAGAAGACGAGCTTGCCGTGGTAGTCCACTGCAACTAGCTTCTTCCTGTCCCAGTTGGTGAAAATGAGCCTCTGCCTAGAGGCCGTCAGGTTCTCGATGGTCATGGCGGCGGGCACTCTCCTCAGTAGAGACCCATTCGGATGATGCAGGGAGATCTGCTCAGTTTTCTCGTATCCCACTGCAATTAGATTACCATCGTCCACGGCCAGGCACGTGGGTTTGCTGTGCGGCCCTTGAGCGGGTGTGAACTGATGAACGAGCTTGTACATGCGCTTCCGATCGAAGATCTTCACGAAAGGGCCGTCCAGCGTCAGAAGCTGATCGTTCTTGTTCACTGCAACGCAAACTGGATTTGAACAGTTGGGTTGCAATGAGATTGCGTTAGACTCGAGGTTGGATGGCTGGATTTCAACCAGCCTTTTGTGCGCAGTGTCTGCCACAACGATCTCGCCGGTTGAGTAAATCCCGACGTTGCAAGCCCATCTGAAACCAGTCCGTGTTGGGCCAAACGTCTGGACTCGTGCCTTGAGTTCCCACTTACGGTCTTTTGTGCTGACAGGTTGATGTAAATCGTCTGATTTTAATCTTGGTCTAGCTTCTGGCTTGTCCAGCAGTCTTCCAAGTGGCAGTACGTCCCGGCCCCAGATTTCAAAGTCCAAGAATGACAGCTTGCTAGAAAACTTCCCTTGCTGCTTTCCAATCAGGTCTCTCTGCGACTGCAAGAGAGTCTGCAGTTCTTGCAAGATTCTGTGCCTGAGATGCACAATGGCGTGGCAACCCAGTTGGGACATTAGTTGGTTTACCTCATCCAGTTTGTGTCCTGCTTCGCTCACCTCCTTGCGGCTTGTAGCTTTAACACTTTCAAATGTCTCGACTCTGTCATTGTAGATCGTCACTGCCTCTTGCTTCAGTCTCTGCTCCTCTCCTCTGATCGTTGCAATTTCCTTGTCCGCTTTCTCTGAGATTTTCCTCTTGGTGATTTCAAACATGGCATCCAATTTCTGCTGGGACTTGTGTACGTCCTCCACCCCGATTCTCATTAGTTCTGTTATGGTCTCTTTCACTTTTGTAGCCAGGTCCTTTACGTCTCTCTTGCACTTTTCCAAAGCCTCCGGCAGGCCAATTTGGTGATGTCCTCCGTGATGCAAATCAAAGCAGATTTTGCAAACGAGCATCTCGCACGTGTTGCAGTAGAAGCGGAGAGTCTGATCTGGATGCTCACCACATTTTGGCTCATCTCTCTGTTTGCGAACTTCTCCCAATCGAAGCTGTGTCAGCGTGCAGATTTGATGCGCTTTCATCAGCGCCAGGCGCTGGTGAGCTCGTTGGCATTCTTCGCAGAGGAAATGATCGCAGTCCATGCACTTTGATACGGCCTTCATCTTCTCATCGCAGGCTTGACATTTGACCTCTAACCCTTGACCTTGCACGAGTTGATCCTGTAGCGTAAACCCACTCAGGGTACTTAATATAAAGTCATCTGGTAAATGTTTAACGTCATCATCATCTTCTGCCTCAGTTCCACGCCCACACGTAGGACACGTTAGCTTGGTAACCCGCGCGTCTTCTTGGCGTTGTCTGAGCTGAAGGAGACATTTCAGGCAGAAACTGTGTGAACAGTCGAGAATTTTGGGTTCCTCGAAACGGTTCCTGCATATGGAACATTCTTGGATCTTGCCCAAGAATGATTCAACTGACGCACTGGATGCCATTCTAGGTCACCTTACTGCTTCTGTAATAAAACAAGAGAGATTTTGGAAAGAATTATAAAAAGCCCAATTTTATGGAATTCCATTACTGCCACGTACGCGGCGCATGTGTAGCACTGTTGCCTGGGTCATCAGCCACTTCCGCCGTCAACGACGCAAAGTCGCGTCGTGCCGTCGCATAGTCGCGTTGTGCCGTCGCATTGTCGCGTCGTGCTGTCGCATTGCCGCATTTTCGCACAGTCGCATTAGTTTCGGGTCCTCAGCCACTTCGCGTCATGTCGTCGCATAGTCTTGTCGTAGTCACGTTCCCACTTTGTCTGGCTGGGCAATGTGGGAATTCCAATACTGCCCGGAAAGAAGGAATACATCCAAAATTTACATATTGACAATTGTACGAAGTTTTCAACGTACTTTGATGATTGTCATGCGAACATTGACACAGAAGCATACTGTGCCCATTCCAAACGGCCAAAAATGTCCATTGTTAATATTCCTTCATTGCTATGCTACTGAACCTGGTCAAAGTCTGAATTTGCGTCCATTTAGATGTAATTACTACAGATAAGGGGTGTTGAACCTACATCGCGCAACTACTGAACCTATTAAGCAACATTCAACACCCCTTATCTATAGCAAATTGCATCAGAATTTACCGAAATTCCCACTTTACCAGGGGATGATAGTAGGGCAATGTGGGAATATTACCAATGGGTACATTGAACATCCCTTATCTACAGCAAATTACATCAGTTTTTCACTCACTATAGTACAGCATTACTGTCTTGTGGTTGATTACTAGTCTTGTATGTGCTAGACTTAGTATAGAGTTGGATAGACTTGTGATTACTTCATGTAACTATAGTACCCAAAGCAACATATTTGTTTTTCTTTGGGAGACTGCTCAATTACTACTCCAGTATACACGTAACGCCCCTGCTTTAATACGGAACTACAAATGTTTCTGGGTGTGTTATTTCCTAAAGACCCATCGCATACACTTTGAATTTCGTTTACGTGGGATGCAATGACTTCTCTTGTAATCGTTTATTTCGTAGTAGCCCTACATTCTTTTTTTTTCTTTCACGAATGAACACATAATTTTCTGCACACAGGCCTTTCCGCACCGTACCAATATTTACAACTAGCAAAAATGTGTCACAGTGTGTTAACTCTTACCTTCAAGAAGAGATGTTTCAGAAGTCCACAGAGGGTTAAACAGAGTCAGGGCCGATCTCAGTTACCAGCCGAAACGCTTGCAGAATGCTAGACGGCAGTTGATAAAAAATAAAATCGCGGGAAATCAGGGGACAGTCCCAATCTATTTTAAGCTGAAAAGATGTAACAATGCTTTATGTATTCTGTTGACCTAGGTGTCAAAGGTAGGTTTACCCTCGATGTCGTCGGAACAAAAGATTTGAAAGGAAGGCTGAAAAATATTCCTGGGAGTATTTCGACATGGTGCAGTCAACTGAAACTCTATGTATTTGGCTTTAGCTGCAAGCAGGTTCGCTTGTTGCTCATACTTCCTATGTTTGTTTGTGTTTATTTGTTTCCTTTCATTTCTCTCTTTCATGTCTCTTGGTGGTCGGTTGGTCTGTCCCCGGGAAATTGACCAAAACTAGACCCCATGAGTTCTCAATTTTTATTTCAAAAAAATAAATAAATAAATAAAATGAATACTTAACAAAAATTGTTTGTAACGATTGGGAAAGATGTTTATGAAAAGTTTGTAAAAGGAGGCAAAATACGTACAGTAAGGTTATAGTCACGTGGTATTTATCACAAATCGCTACAAATCAAATCCAGGTATGCATTTAAAGCATGGTGTTCTATTATGTGCCATCGGCGTCGCATTTTTGGGCGTCGCATTTTCAGCTCTGGCAAGGATCATTTTGATAGATTTCATGCAAGAAGGCCAGGAATAGTTGTGCACTCGCACTTGTTTATCTTGTTTGTCCTTTTTCTTCGTCCAACAACAAACTTTGCGGTAACGATAATTCGCTGTGTGTCGAATAATTCATGAAGTCCAAATTTCATAGGACACCGCCCTTAAAATGCGCGTAGTAGCGTTTGTGCATTGTCCAATGCGCGCGCGCATCATATTCAGTAGAATAACCATTATCCACACGCGTATCAAATCCAATGTGCGTATTGTGCGCGCATGTATTTGCTTTCAAATTTCCTGCGCAAATCGATCACGTTCAGTCTGCTGCTACATCCTGTCAACTCTCGGTAAGTGGACACAATTGCATTCTGTTTTCGACAGATTTACCGATCATTTTGGTTGAATTACAAAGAACCCATTAATTTTACGTGCCAATTAAAGAATTTTTATTCCTTCAGAACGTCACTAAAACAGTTTGTCCCAGAGTCAATAAGCGCTTCATAAACTGAACCATTTGTGCTTTTCAAATTTCAGTGTTGTGACCAAGATCAGAATGTGTTCCACTTGTTGCTTAAACTAGCGGCGGTTTGCGTAATATTTTGTTAATCTCAAACTTCTCAGTCTTCTTGTAAGTGAAGCACAAATTAATAGGCCTAAATGGCACAACGGAATGGAATCTAGGTTAAAAAAAAAAACCCATAGGCCTAATTTGAAAAGTTGTTGTAGAACGCATGCGCATAATTGTATTTGTGACGTCATTATTGAAAAATTCATATCCAAGTTACACGGGTGCACAAAGTTTGTGTTGTTATCAACATTAGGTCAGAATAGTATTTGCGTTTCTTGAAGACAGTTCGTCTGAATTCTACGGAGACTTTTGCTTGAGTTTCATACAGCGATTAATAGCGAAATCTTTCGACATGTTTGACCAACCACAGCAGTGGCTTTTGGTTTTGACTTTCAGCATGTTGACTGGGCCGTTTTTCGAGCCCAACCCGGAGCCCAAACCACCGGCACCGAACCCCTGGCAGCCACCGTGTCAGTTCAACTCCACACGCGGTATGTTGCCGATTGGATCCAACAACAAGACGCATGGTCCTCTGGTCGAGCAGGCGGAGCCATTACTCGGCCATCACCAGGACATCGTCATGCCGAATATCAGCCGGTTGGTGACGGAGCCGGTCCGCCTGGTGGTCGCGGACCCGCTCTTTCCCGCCCTAGCGGTGGAAGCAGCACCACCACTCATGGCACCAGCTCGACCTAGCAGCGTCGTGTTTAACAGCAGCCTCTTGACGATGAAGGCCGTCCGTCCAGAAATATTGGACATGCCCTTCCTGCCTCCAGCAGCACTACCACCGATATCTCAAACTGCAGCATCACGTCCACCGCTTCGTCACATACTTCCAAGCCGGATGTCACTCGTCATCAAAGTGCTCTGTTCTAGTGTTGGTGTCTACTTCATCAGCGACCTGATGGTCGTCCTGTCTGCCGTCCTTTCCACCTTCGGCGGCATGACTCGGAAGATTAAGGCGGCCTTCTCCTGCCTGAAGGATTGGATCTTTGCCAAGATAAAGATGATCCAGTGGCTGCATCTGAGACCTCATCCATCCAACTTAGAGGTCGTACTGGTTGAGCCATCTCAGCTCCCAGGAAATCCGGAGGAAGACGACAGTAATACGACAGGTTAGTTTAACCACGCTGAAGTTAAATATGTATCTTATTTTTTTATATTTCTCCTGGCACTGATTTTGTTTGTTTGTTCGGTATTTTTTCGCTGTCTTAAAAGTTTCAAACTTTTAATAATTGAAGTTAATACAAAATGACCGAAACCTACATGTATTATGTTTTTGATTTGTTCAGGTAAACATTTTTGTGACAAAGATCTTAAAATGAACAATACATTATCAACTTTTGCTACTTCATTCTTATTCATTCTGACTCCATCTGTTTCCTTACCAAAATTATCTTTCAACGACATGTCCTCTCCAATGATGTTTTCAGGCTCTGAATCCCCAGTTCTTTTGTCTTTCCAAATGCCAAGTCGAAACTGCCATTCAATGATGAATAGTTTTAATCCGTTCTCATCTTTGTTAATTTCGACAGAGACCGAAGTGACTAATTCACGCCCAATAGAAGGGAGAGTGACGGTGATTTTCCCAGCTCCTCGGCGGCTCGTTAACTCGGAACCACAAGAAGACAAAGAGGAAGGCAAAGAGGAGGACAAAGTGGAAGACAAACTGGAAGATAAAGAGGAACAGAACCCCTTGCCTCCAGACCCTCAAGAGAAAGACAGCGCCGATAAGTAAGTGTTGTCTTACATCTTTAGATATTGGTTTCAAGTGGTTTTAGATAAAAAAAAAAAAATTAAGTAGTTCTGACCTAACTAACTAGCCATAAACAAAGTTTCCTCCTTATAGAAAGTTGCCTGATTGCACTTCAGGAAAACACATCTGTTTTCCTTTTCATATCAATTCATTTGTTGAAGGGTATTCAGGCAACATTCGAAGACTAGATTCTTTTTTTTAAGAACTTGTCTTAAACTTTTTGTTTTCATTCACTTTTTATCTAAATTTTGACGGCTGGAACTGATATGAGCAAAAATAAATCACCTTTTGACGAGCTTTCATAAAACTTGAAATATATATGCGCAACGTATTTTCCACATGAATTGATTGATGAAAAATTGAAGTTTACTGATTAACCTTCAACGTAAAACCAATCGGTTCAATATGATGTTAGCAAATTAAAATGGAGCTACATGTATGTATATTTTCCCAAACTTTCACGTTTGCACAGAAGATTATGGCATCGTTATTTACTTTTCTTGAGAGGTTTTGTGCAGCGCCAACTATACAGAAAGATTCTAAGAATTGTTAAATTTTTGTGTCTAATTTCAGATCTGACTCTGACGACACCACGGAGGTTCTCGTACTCAAAGTGAAAAATGGTCTGATGGGCAGAGTTATTGGCAAAAAGGTAAAAAGAAATTCGAAACTACTCACTTCTCATAAATAGAATTCTGTATTGAATAATGTTTTGTTCAGTAAAAATCTGAAGTAATACTCGCCAAATTTTCGGCGTATTTTTCATTTATTTATTTATTTATATAAACGTTTTGAAGATTTCACATTTTCAGACTCTCATTTCGAAATCCTTGGAAATGATAATCCCAAAAATATAAGATCCCGACAAATTTGGGGGTCTCAATTCACTCTCGCTTGTTCGCCGACCTGTACTAGTGTTGCAAGCATGCCAAATATTCTCTGAATGTTCTGCACTGATGAAAAAAACCCAGATTATTCATCAATTTTCATCAACGGATCTTCGAGGCATATTTTTTTTCGGATAGCTCTGGAGCAAGTTAGGAAAGTCATTATTTCTGTACAAATTGTTTTGGTTTGTTTTGTTCGGCCGTGCAGGGCTGCATCGTGAAAACCATGAAGAGAGACCTGAACCTGTGCATCATGTATGGCAATCTGGATGTGGGATGTTCCTTCTTCCGTGTGGAAGGTACAAATCCAGGCAAATTCAAAAAACTTTACCCAAAACTTGCTTGCCGAATTAAAGGGCATATAATTATGTAATGTTATTTTTGATAACGCAAACCTTGAAGATGCGCCTGTGTGTCCCAATTAACCTTACTTTCAATTTTCATTTTGCCATTTTTTAAAGGCTTTTTGGTGCGTTTTTTTGTTTTGATGCTAATGCGAATTTCCATATTCATGAGCAAAAGCGTGATGTCATTTCAGGCAAAAACCTAAATGTTACAGCCATTTCAGCACCACCATTTGCCAAAATTTTGGGATATTTTGAAGTCGTAAATTTT